GAGAGAGAGAGAGAAAGAGAAAGAACGGCAGGTTGTCTGTTTCAGTTGGTTGGAGGCAGTTGAAGCATCAGTTTCTATCCGATCGGGAACATGCACGCACGCGCTTGTATCGTGAATGAAAGTGGAACGATACAAAGCATATATCCGTAGGAGTGTTTTTCATCATTCTGGCAATGGACTAGATAGTCAGAGATTGTTTATTTAATTTTTGAGATTGGGCTTTGGACATTTTTTTTACTTACCGCCGAATTGACGTTTCTTACGTTCGATCCGCAACGCACCGCGATTATATTTGAGCAAAAAGATATCGGAATAATTTTACATCTGTGCGATAATATAAAAAAATTTGCTATGTGAATAATAGAAGAAAAGAATATAGTCATTGTTGTTACATAATTTATTATATATCTGTTGTTAATGTTGAGGAAAAAATGTGTCGGGAACGGAGAGACAGTAGCGATGATAATTCCATTCGACTGAGGAAAATTATTCAATCTGTAAATCAAATTACTTTGGTACTTAATCGTGCCGCAAAATTTTCTCTTTCTAGATGATTCTTTGCGCCGTCGTACAAACGTGACATGATGAAACTATGACAATTTTTCATTAATAGTGTCGTTGCAAAATACGTGTTGGATTTTCACTTTGTTGCGATTAGCTTCACATTTCCACTATGCACTTTTTAATTACTCTTGGCTTTCTCACTTTCCTACTTGTGTCATTATGAATATCATATGAGATATGCGATCTTCTCGATCGAGAAGGAGTCATGTTGTAGAGAAACGTAAGAGTAATTGACCGGGGATAGATTAATTGCCATCAGGATGATATCGATAAGTTGTGGTTATTTTGAAAAGTAAATCAATTTCTATCGTACATTTTTACCTCCACGAGAAAAAAAAATAATTTATCGACAAATGGAACAAAATGAGAAAGTCTCTCTTTCTCTCAAATAAATTAAACTAAATAATTGAATTTTAAAAAAGTGTTTATAGATAAATTAATTAATAGATAAATTAGTTAATAAATAAATGAAGCAACGTTAGATGCGATCTTGTGCAGTTTTCCAAAAGTGTCGTGTATCGTCGAATATGGAGGTTGAATTGCAAATGCGAGTTTGATGAAAGGAAAAAAGAAAGGAGCAAAAGAAAGGAAAAGATCGAAGAAGATATTATTGTACATATCTGAAATGGTACCGATTGGATAAAAACATCTTACACAGATATTCGAAAAATGTTGGAGCTCGTGGAACGCAAAGCCAGCGGAATCTCATGGCCTACGTGTCGCACTGAAAATCTCGATAATTTGAAAAAGAATCCCAAAGGAAGCGTGCTCCGGAGACGCACGGAGAAAGATTACGCACGTGAGAAACGATGGAGAAGAGACAGCAAGGGCTTGCTTTGCTCTCTGAGCCAACTTGGCTGCAGCGATTCTTACAGTCCAGATACGCTGGGAACATGGAAATTTCATAAAGTGTCTCGTACAAGGTAAAGACATGTTGGCAATATTTGTTATCGCAACGACCTATATCTCTGATTGCCATTCTCAGTGAGTTTTAAATTACCATATATCCCAATATCTCTCAGCATCTTTTCTCATAAGAGAGATCAATTTATTGTACATACTTGAATCATAAATAAGCAATTTATCGTTTCCGTAAATCCGATATCAGGAGACGATTTAGCTGTTATTTGTATGTTTGAAAATTATTAGGAAGAAATCTTGTAAACGATAGTGTCAATTTTTCTCGCAAATTCGGACGCGAAATGCATCGATCGTTTGATGCACGCGGATGCTATTTGTCGAACGATGCGAAAACGCGATAGAGAAAGTAATAGTGAGAAAGGTAAGTTGTGTGGGCGACGGTTGCAGGTGCGTAGATATATCAGTCAGGATTGGAATGCATTCCGAACTAAAGCTCTTTTCCGTTTCTTTCAGCAATTTCTTGTCATTTCTTGCTTGTCTTTATCCTCACATTGCAGTCTTGGAATTTTTGATCAAATGTTACTAGACACAAGCGCGAATATTTAGAAAGAAAATCAATTATTGATTAGGAAAATACAATAGAAGAAAAAAGAAAGAGAAAATTAATACAAAATGCATTGGTTTCAGTTTTCACCTGGTGTACTATTCGACGAGAGAGATAGTCTTACGAAATACATATTAATTATTAATATTTTACGTAAATATTTAGTTGTTTATATCTAACTGACAATGAGTGACTCGCGTTACACGGATGTAGGTACATTCTCGCGTATGAGGTATATCCGATGGCACAATTGATGCCGTATATCTTTTCAATAATTTTGCTCTTACGGGATTGTACAAAGCAAACAAATCCTCTGTTACACATACTTTACGAATCGCGTTTTGCTTATTCGAAATCACGAATCTCGTATCAATTGCAGTCAATTACACAAACTCAGGTGATTGTAAAGAAAAGGATCCGCAAGTTAGCGGTACCGATCGACTCGCGTCCGATTTATATATATATATTATTTTTTTTCCCAGCGCGTTTACATTGCAATTGGCAATGTTTGATTGCGCAATGATTTGTACGGATTTCGTTAAAGTGTAGTGAACTCATCTTGGCGCAATAATATCGATTCCCTGGCACATTTCCATATTCTATTCATGCAATTATCCATTCGCGATAATTTACAGATTGTGTCGGATTACGACCGGATCGGTGATTTCTAACGTTACGCGAAGAATTCAGTTCTAAACATTCGCGCGATAAATTGCATAAATTGCCATCGACAGCGATCGTATAGAACCGGCTCGACATATTTTTATGGAAGGCGTAATTTGTACCAAAATACGCTTTATAGTGTGCAAACTTATATTGACAATTTTATCTTTACAAATCCGTTTTCAAGGATAAATTATGTTTTTATATAGTGAGACTAGATTTCGATGAAATATTTTTGCGTAATTTGAAATATGAAAATCTTTTTTAGTTTGATGAGATGCATATAGATGTCTTGAAAAATAGATACAAGATTATCATCATTTTTTGTATTATAATTAATATTTTGTATTATAATTAATATTTAATGTGGAATTAAATTTAGGAGAAATGTGAAAAACTCTTTTCTACTTCTCTTTTGAACAACTGTCGACAACTGTCTAAAGTAAATATTCTATGCAAATACTGTGTCTGTGTCTGAGCACTCTGAATTCAAGTGTTGCTAGAGCATAATTGTAATATATCGTGGCTAGTGATTTCCGGTGCAAACGCTTAATCTCTGACTGGCGGCATACTTTAGTCCAACGTCATTCGTAATATATGTTCGCATTAATCGCAATGCTGCGTACCAATTCAACCGCATCAATTCAAAAATAAAATTACATCGCGAGTCTCAAAACAACATTTTGTTAATTAGAAGTTGTTTCGCTATGTATACGACAAAATGACTACACAGAATTTCTTTCTAATGTATTGCTAAGAGAAGTTATCCCTTCCTATTGTCATGTCAAGTTATTATTTTGACTTTAATTTGATGAATACATTATATTTTGCTGGGAAGAGAAATCTGCCTCAAATTTGCTTGATGATCAATTTTACTAAAAAAAAATTGATTAACAAGTAATTGATTAACAAATAATAAGCATTTAAAGAATCGCCTAATCCGTGACGTGAAAAACCAATTTAAAACTTCTAATCGCACCCCGCTTCTTTTCAAACGATGATCGCATCAAAGAGAATATAATTCGAAGCTTGTTAGATCATCGCGCATGATGTCATCGTGACAATTGTCCTTCTCGTTCTCCCGATTCATTAACTTTACCGCGAATGGTGCAATTTTGACATTGATCCGTACGAATATTATTAGTGAGCAATCGTGACTTGATTTATTCAATAATGACAGCAACAATCAACGGCATGATGCAGCAGTTCGATTTGCCTCGCTGCATTTCTGCAGCGTTAATGCATCGCTCGCGATTGTTCGCGACTTCTTGTGATAGTTCCCCAGTCACGGTAACGTTTGAAAACGTCGTTTGGTCTCGCAAGAGTAAATGCGCTATGCTATGGTGATGTCGCGGAGGGATTCGCGATTACATTCGTCGCGGCTGCGTGATGTATGTCCACGTGTTCGACGTGATCGAAATATAAGTGCTCTTCAAAATGAAACATTGTTCAGAGACAATTCTATAGGAACTATGTATCTTTTCGGCCGCGCGCCAACCAAGTGCAGCATCACTTGTGCGAACAGTAACAGTTTTACAAAATACATTAATACACGTATAATTGATTCCCGCATGGCATTGCAGTTTACTAAATCGATCTTTTCTTTTGTTCGTTTTTCATGTGTCTCTCAGTCATGAGGGGATGAGCACTGGAGCGGGAGATGGAGGTGGAGGCGGTGTCGGAGGTGTTCAGAGCAGCGGCGGTGGTAGAAACACACCGCCGCACGGCTCGCCCACCCCCATGGACAAAGCAACCTTAAAAGTTCATCTTCCAAATGGTAAGTTATCCCACCACGGAATAGCTCATCAAAGAATCTTTTGTGCGCTAAAGATCAGTGTTAGTGTCGTAGAAAATAAAGGGCCGTTTATCGAGATGTTTGCTTCTCGCTATTTTATAGAACAGATCAAAGTTATCTGCCACCTGACGCAGACGTTTTATTTTTTTGTCTTGTTTATTTCTTATATATTTTCTTTTACTTACTATTTTGGTAACATGTTCAATTTATCTTGAATATTGTAACAGCAGACGCGAATATAAAAATCGTACAATATACACTCACCCGAAAAAAAAGCGGTACACTGAAAATGTGGGAAAAATTCATCAAATTTCAACTGACGATAACTTCGTAAATAATAAAGATAGAAAGTTCTATAAAATATGGAAATGAAGCTAAAAATCTCTACTTTAAGAATCAATTTATTTCAATGTTGCAAAATAAATTTATTGAAAATGGCGGATGACAAAGCGCGAGCATGCAAAATTGAAAAATAATGGTTCGAGTTTGCGACGGTGCACGGTATAAACAAAAAATTGTAGCTTATTGGGATCAAAAGCGTACGAAAGTACAGAGTCTCCTCTTTAAAATGCTTTTATGCATCTCGATACGATGATCGTATAACTTCGTATAATGTA